CATGATCTCATGCAGTATGTAGCTGGACTACTCTTCCTCATGGGCGGTAAGAGACAGAGTGTGCGTTTGTGAGCGTGTGTGAGAGAAACAAACAGAATAGAAGTCGACTACTCAATTTTGTCGCCATCTAGTGGCTGTTTTTTTAATACAAGAAGGTGCTTTGAAAATAGATCAAAAGCTTTGCATCCTATATTTGTGATCTAAAAGAAAGGGTGTTTCATAAATGTTTGATGATACATCTCGAGTAATTTCCCCTCTGACAGGAACCTGCTGTATTATCTCCCTTTGTACGTGTGTGGCGGGCATTAACTTTGAGTTGTCGCGTTATCCACGTTACCTGTACGGCCTTCCAGAGGACATCAGTCATGGGTATGGCTGGTCCATGTTCTGTGCCTGGGGCGGACTGGGTCTCACCCTGCTGGCCGGTTTCTTATGCACGCTGGCCCCTTCTTTAAGCAGCCCCTTGGCCCGCACCACAGTCCACAAGTCCAGGCATGAAAATGGAACTGTGTGATAAGAGACTTCTGGAGCAACATTGCAGCAACTTTTCACAACATGTATACAGCATCTACGTAAGGACAAAGCATCTGGCCTCTTCATCATCATGCAGTATCCTGACTGGATCATTCCTCCAGTGGCTTTTGGGCTCTTGTTGATCAACATTGTCAACACGACTCGTGTACACCGTCCATTTGTTTAAAAGGTTAAAGTCTGTAAATGACCTGAACACTGCTGATAGACTCAAATGGAGACACAAGCACAGACCACCAAGCATCTTCCACCGTCTCACATGTCTCACTCTGGTCCTTTGTGGCACAAAAAAACCCAATGAAAATTTTCGGAGAGGCGGCTGTCTTCTCTCTAAGACGATTCATAATAAAATGGTGCTCTTTTCAAAATCACACAACTGCACAGAAATCTTTTCAAAGACATCAAGAGGACAAATAAATAAATCCACGGTGTTTCTTATAGCTGACTGACAGTGTGGAGGATTGTGAGCCCAGAGTGAAGAGGGGAGCAACGAAAAGGAGAGATAAAAGTATTTCTGTCATTCAAGCTTTGAGAAGCACACTTCCCATGGCCTCAGAGAGTCTGCAAGCGTAAAAATGGGTTTGTCTAGATTTCAGGTCTACATTTGTATGAAATTAGGCCTATGCTTGGGATACAAATGGAGCCTTTTCACTCTTTGTTATGATTGTAAAGAGCGGCGTCATGGCTTGGTCTGTGGTAGCTGGTTTGAGGAATCTGACCAAATGTATTACTAAGTGGCGTGTGAATTACCAACTTAATGAAAATGTTTGTGGGGGTTTTTCTGAACATCATTTCTCATGAAGCCTTATTGCTGTTATGAGTACACCATGATTAGAATCAGAGTTATATCCAACCACAACTGAATGTTGCTGAATAGTCAAGATAAAATTAAAGCTCTGGCTGCACATGCAAGTTGAAGATTTTGAAGAAAACTCAGTGTTGTTTTGCCACAAAAAGTGATGTGAGGTCTAAATACAGAACGCATAATGTACAGAATTGAAATCAAGAGATGGATTGCAGGTAGAGTGTTGAATATGGTACAGTACATGACACGCAACAAGTTATAATGTTTACATCATGTAATGTTTGTTCTTAGATGACTCCAACCAAACAATATTTTAAAAACCCCAAAAGGCCTGGAGGCTTTAATCTAGTAATAATCTTGTAATGTTTTTTTAAGTGAGTGTTTCCACATTATTATGAATAATTCATATTGATTTTTCTCTCACAAATGGGTATTATTTATTGAGGATGCTACTGTGAAAAGCATAGTTACTATAAATCCTTTACCAATGCCTCACATGTCTTTGCCAAATGTACATTCATAGTCTCATAGACCTCCACAGAATCCAGATCAATTCTTGAGCACAATATACTGGTGATGATATTCACAGTGGGGGATGGGGAAACGCAATAGTTAATGTAAGACTTTAAGGATGGCAAATATTGTGGATGTATTCTGAGTGCATATTTTGGGAAATAGGAATGTGTTAGTAAATTGTCTTTGTTTGAGCAAAACTGGGGTGTCCAATCATTTTCTAGGGTAAAGCTTTCAGCTGATTGGCACAAACATATACAATGAACAAAGCCAAAAGAACAAATCCCTTTAGGTAGATAGGAAAGTGTTGTATTGAGTGTGAACTTTCGGATGAAACTGACTGAAAATATTGTGGCAAAGAAGTAATAAACACCACTTAGAAAAAGATTTGTGTGAAAAGTCTGAAATGTGAATGTTTTGGACAGGATTTAAAAAAAAAAAAAGATCACAAGAACAATGTGTAAAAAGCTGTTCTAATAAAAGCAGCTTCGGGTGTTTTGCCACTTTTGGGTAGATATGAGAGACATTTGTACAAAAGCTGCCATTTTCTTTGGCAGCTGAAGTAGCACCACTTTTTTTATTTATTTTTGGGTATGAATGGTTTTTACTAGTTCATGTCATAATTACAGCTGGAGAAAACAAGTATAATTGTCTCGCATGCCGTCATATTGATTAACTTTAGTGTATTTAGATTGTGTAAAAAAATTTTTAATTACTTTTATTTTATGAAATAAAATGTTGGTAGCATTTCAACATGAGGTACTTTTCATTTATATTTCATTCAACTGGGTTTTTTTGTTTTTTTTTATTAAATAGTTTTGAATGTGATAGCCCACCTGGGCTTCGGTTTGACTTAATTGCTAACATGCCCAGTGTAAAAAATGTATAATAATGATAAAAATCCTGAGTACATTAATGGAAGCATATGGGGCAGGTGGGTCCTGTTTAATACACTTTCTATACTGCATAGCTATTATGTTCATAGTACTCAAATGTATACATAGAAAGGTAATGTTGCAGTAATGCCATGTGTAGTACTGAAATATGGTTAATTTGATATAGGGCACCACCTACAGGATCTTTGTGGAACATGTTCCCCTTATACCCTCATTCAGAATACATTACAGAAATGTCTTTGTAAAGTCAACAGTGAGCATACAACACCCATAAATCAGAATTAAAGGTTACAATAAAATAAAAAGAAAGTAAATCAATATTGGCTTCCCAGTAAATGATTCATCCTGCCCTTTATGCTTCTAAAGTTTAAAGGAAAAAAAAGACAGAGGGAGATGATAAACTTGTAATATCTACAAACAAAACCCATGAGATATGATATATACCCTATATAAAACATATGGGTCAATATTCTTTTGTGTCAGGCTAGATTGTACATCAAATGGTGACCCAACCCAGCACATTACCAAAATTGTGTATCATACAAAAAGTAAACAATGTTCTTTAAAAATAAACTTAAACATTGAAATGTATTAAAGGGGTCATATGATGTTGCTAAAAAGAATTTTGTTTGTGTATTTGATGTAATGAAATGTGTTTATGCGGTTTAAGGTTAAAAAAACACATTATTTTCCACATACTGTACA